TCTGATTACTGCTGGGTGTTCTGATGTGCCTAAGACTGTGTGGTGGATAAGGCTTGGACCCTAGTGGTTTTTAAAATTTTTTTGCATGACTTTCCATTAAAAATTTGACCTAAACCTCCATATGTTTCTATTTCTTTTGTAAAATGGAAAGATCTGATGGCACTCAACAAGCACAGCAATCATAGTCTGCAGCAGAATGGCAGTTGCCTTCTTTAGGCAGGAAATGTATTTTCTGATCTGCCACATCCCACACCAGTCCATCTTACTCAGTTATTTTGCCTGTCTGATCCCTGTAGCTATTTATATGTGTGACCCCAGCATGTGGGCAGAAATTTTACAAATAGGCGTTGTCTTAGTCCATTTTGCCTTGTTATAAAGGAATACCTGAGGCTGGGTAATTTATCAAGAAAAGTGATTTATTTGTCTCACGATTCTGCAGACTGTACAAGATGCACGGCACCAACATCTGCATCTGGTGAGAGCCTCAGGCCACTTCCACTCATTGTGGAAGGTGAAGGGGAGCTGGCATGTGTACAGATCACTTGGCAAGAGAAGAAGAAAGTGGGGGAAGTTGTTGGGGCTCTTTTTAACAAGCAGCATTTGAGGGTACTAACAGTGACAACTCACTCATCCCTGAGAGAGGGCATTAGTCTGTTCATCAGGGATCCACCCCCATGATCCAAATGCCTCCCATTAGGCCCCACCTCCACATTGAAGATCAAATTTCAACATGAGGTTTGGAGGGACAAACATTCAAACCATAGCAGGCAGTATGACCACAATGTCCAAAATGATACATTCCATCACTGCCACATTCCTCATGATAACTTTATTCCAGGAAAGCACCCAGTTTTCCTAAGCTCCTTCTGGGGATATGAATATCTTAGCAAGGTAAAGGAGTAAAGGAACAGAAAGCACATATATGGAATGGAGTTAAATTTGACCAGCGTACCCTGGTCTTGGTGCAGGTGGAAGTTCATTAATAAGTGGTCAGAGGCCAGCCATGCTGTCTGCTCCCATTCTGATTCGGAGGTTAAGATGTGTTTATGCCTTTCAGCCAACAAACCTCTCTCTTGCTTAAAAGCTTCTCAGATATTGCTTTCCTGGAAATTCAATTTGGCCCTGCTCTGAATTTTATATCCATCGTTTTGCTTGAAAACTCAAAGAATTGAAAACCCATACTTGTTTTGCTTATGCAACAGGGAAATTGGTCTTTGGGTTTTATAATAAAAACTTTGCTTTTTTAAAAAATGTATTTGTGTGTGTGTGTGTGTGTGTGTGTTAATTAATAACATTCATGAACATGTTTTGGATACTTATTTTGTACTAGGATTTCTGCTAAGTATTTTATATGAAAGATGTCTTTTTATCTTCAACAACAATCCTGTGAAGTAGCAGTGAATTTTATCCTCTTTTCACAGATGGGAAAGGGAGGCACAGAGAGGTCAAATACTTTGCCTGAGATCAACAGCAAGTAAGTCATAGCTGGAATTTCAAGTATCTGAACTGAAAATACGTGAACCAAGTGCTAACCAGGTTGTGCCCTCTGACTCCCTAAGTGTCACAGTCACGAGTAGCCCTGTCATAGTCTGCTGCAGACTGCCCACCCACCATCGCAAGAGTAGGCCCCAGGGTTGCACAGTCCAGAGGGGTCATTCATTCCTGAAGTTGTGCAGTACAGGGCTTCTGTTCACTGCAGTATTTTCTATGAAAAAGGAACCCCTTATAGTACATGTCTTTTTAGAATAGAAGTCAGCTAAACATGCAGAATAACCCACAAAATGTCACAATGAAATGTGCAAATCACATGGGAAGCGAATATCATCCACTGTGCTCTTCCCTGGGTATTGACCTCACAGCTGTTAGACTCAGAAAGCAGGAAGGACTGGGGCTTAAAGAAAACACCTCCAGTGTTCTCAGGGCCAAAAAGCTCGGGAAAGGCTTGGCTGAGGACACCAGGTAAACCTTAAAGAGTGTAGCTGCTTCCCACTTGGGGTGACAAAATATTAAAGCTGGAAGGGGCCCAGGAAGATGTTTTTCTCCAGCCCTCTCACTTTAACAGGTAGGGAAACTGGCGGCCAGAAATGGACTCTGACTCCCCAGCTGCTAAACTGGCGATGGCAGTCAAGGCCGGAGCTCAGGTCTTGCGACTTTCCGATAACATGCTCTTTGCACGGCACCAGGGTGTGGGCTGGGCAGGACTTAAGGGTCTGCTCAGGAGGTGACCCTGCTCCACCTTCCATCTGCAGAAGCAGGGGAGAGCAACACATGCAGGAAGAAGGAGCTGGCTGTGGGGGAACAGTGATGATTCAATCGTGAGCCAAAATACCAAGTTATTAAAAATAGAGCTAACTTTTCCCTTCTATTACCACCCAGACTTTCATAGAAATTTCCAAGTTGTTTTTAGGGTTTGAAAGACAAGGGAAACCGAGGATACTATTTTAATTTCATTGGTTACTTCTCTGATACTAACCTGCTGATTAGTGACAAGAAGCAGAGAACTTAAAATCGTGAGGGTCCCGGGGAGGACAGTCTGGCATGTGTGACATCTCACCTGCGTCAATACCTTGGCGTGGCACCTGCAGCTGCGAGCTCTCTCATGTGTAGCGTCCCATCGTCATCAATGAGGAGAATGGGTAGGCAAAGGTGAACCGATTTCCTTAAGGTCCTAGACCTAGTGATTACAGAGGTAAGACCTAGAACTTCTGTGCATTAGGTTATTCTTTCTGTGGCTCTGCAATTCTAAAATCAAATATATCTCAATTTAAGGGAGACACCAGTATGGCCAGGCAAATTTTGAGTAGTGGACAGGTTATTCTGTTCAGTTATTCCACCCACTCAACCTCCCTATGCTTTAGTTTCCTCCTCTGCAAAATAACATTAATACCTGCCTCATGGAACTAATATAAGAATTAAATGGTTATCCTTACATTACATAAAACAGTTTGCATGTAGTAAATATTCAAGAAATGTTACGGCTTGTTGTCTCTAATTCCCCGCGTTGACACTCAAAATCTTCAAGAGTAAGAAAAAATAAAAGGTCTACAATTGGTTAGGTATCATTAAGATAGCAGCAGAAAACCTAACCATGACTGCAGTGTGCCCTCTGAGAAGACTTCTCCATGGCACAGAGATTTGTTTCCCTCTTTTTATGACTTTCCAGATATTCCTATTGGCATGCAGGAGGCAGAATTTGGCTCTTTATCTTTTCCCAAGCTCCCAGTTTATCCAGAATTAGAAATCCTTCAGGTAAAACTTTTATGTTTCTACTCATTTTGATATGCTATGTTAGCATGTGTGTGGGTTTTAAAAAGAGAGTAGTTGAGAAGAATAAAGATGATAGATAGGCCTTTCTTCTGGGGATATATGCTTTAAGAGATACTTATATCAGCCATGCCTTCAAGTTTTGGAAACAGAAAAGAGATAAAGAATAAGCTCTAGTTAAGGATAAAGATACCACTATGGCTTGCAACCACAGAAATGATCACAAGTGAAAGAATTTAGTGAATTGCCAAGAATGAATAGAATGAATTGCAACGTTATTTGTAGTAGACCTTTTGGTATGTCTGCCCCACCCCTCTTCTGAGAACTGCCCACCCGCCCACATGGGTGGGCTCTTGCAGCTATGTTTGTACTGGCCAGCAATTTCTTTACTGATCATAGCTGATTGGGGCAGAAGTGGACACTTGAGCCTATCTGGGCCAATGAGATTCTCTGCTGGGAGTTTGGACCCAGCATGGCCATCAGTTGTGTGGTAGTCTTAATGCCGGGAGGTGATGTGATTCTAGGGCCGTGTGGGTGATATCTCACCACGTGCAAAAGGAGTTGATGTGAAGAGAGAGAAAGATAAAGCAGGTGTGGAAAGAAGTAGAGGCAAGTGACTCCACAGCCACCAAAAGATTGACAATAGCTCCCTTGGTTCTTCCTGATTTTCCAGGCCCTGTTTCCTTCTTTCTCAGAGCCTGAGGGCTGTTGAGTTCTATGAGATACATGTGGATCCTTCCAACAAATTCTCACTTTCACACATCTGAGTCTGTGACCTGTACACAAAGCTCTTTACTGAGGTGATGTCTATGACAGTTAAATGGCCAAGGTGACTATTCCGCCACTCTGTATTGGAAATGTCTGATTGTGACGGCTGAGTTTCTCATGCAGCAATCCAAGGGAACGGCGACAGCAATCTCTTTACTCAAGTTCACCTGCCATGCAGTTCTCTTTTCCCTTCCACGTACATGTTTTCTCCTCAACTAAACTGGAAGCTTCTTCAGGGAGGTGACTCTTCTTATTCATCTTTTTCATTCCCTGTAGCACCTGCACTGTGATGTTATTGAATTTGCCGATGGTGTTTATGTAAAAAGAAAAAGGGGAAAACAAAACTTTCTACTTCAATAATTTTCCATTTGGGTAAAACTTCTCTCGCCTCGATTTAGGAAATAATCACAATTCTTTCTCTTTTTGTTGTAAACCAATCTCTCTTCTCAGCTTTGTGTCAATGAGGAGATAGGTTTATTTAGCCAGTAATTTCCACTGCAGAAAATCTTGGGCCCAGATTGCCCTGCAAAAGCAATATGTTCTGTTTTATTTTTATATTACATTATATTTATTTTAATTGCATTCTCCATCTGGTCAAAGATGGCATTAGGCACCGTAAATGGAGAAAAGAAACAAAGAGATATCTAACTATGATAATAACTGGGATTATTATTTTTAAAAATCATCTAGGAGCACTATAACCTCTAGTCATCAGGCGAATTCCACAGCCCTAATAATAGAGAGCTCTTGAAGAATCATGAGGAAGAAGAAAGATTAAGACAAATGAACCAAATCATGACTCCTGGAGTCCCCTGCATGGCCCTGAGTGGACCCTTGCACCTGGCCTACACCTGGACTCAGTCTTAGGACAGCATGGGGCACAGTATAAAATGACCCATGTATCTCCTAAGCTATCTTGAGCACTTTTATTATGTCCAAAGTAGTTTCAGAAGGGCATTAATGCACAGTTTCAATCAAATGTTTTATTAATAAACTTTAGGAGAAACCCCCCCGAGAGAGGTCATTTTCTTCTCATTGCAGGAAATGTTTCTGCACCGCTCTGCTAACAATTGGAGGTCTTCCAAATGAAGCTGATGTTATTTCAATGGCTTGGTAGACAAGAAACCAAATCCTAAAATGAGATGCCTGCGGCAGAAGACTCGGCACTCAGCACCCAGGTCAGCGTGCTTTAAGAGGGGTTATCAGGGCTGCTTAATCGTCTGTTCCTGCTTTTCAATCTGAACAAATTAGGAGACTCAAGGGGAGGGCTTACATATGAAACTTTGCCAAAAACAAGTGGGTGGTGACATTCCCCGACTGTAATCCATTCCTCTTCCCACTCCCTGCAGTCTATCACTTAGAATAGTTTATGTTTCAAAAAACAAAAACTCATTTGAAACTGGCTCAAGCAAATAATGGAATTTGTTGGTTCACATGCTGATGGATTCAAGGGCGTTTGGCTTCGGGTGTGGTTTGAGGCAGAGATCCACCATATTCTCAGGGGTGCCATGGATTTGAGAGCCTTTTGTCCACTTGAGGTGTCAGATATTTTTTTCAGGCTGGTCCCAGGCTTAGGCTCCAGAAATGGTTTCACAGCTCTGAACATCACATCCTTTCCCCAGGCCTGTTAGAAGAAGAGAAAGCATCTTTCCTAGTCTTTAATAAGAGCCAGGGAGCATTTTCCCCTGCAACCTCTAGGAAAAGTCTCCTTGCATTGCATGGGTCTATACTGGGCTACGTGCTTATCTCAAAGGCAGTTGCTGGGCCTGGGAAGGGCTGGATGGGCTTTGAGTTCAGATTGAGCTAATCAGAGCTCACCCCTGGGACAGAGGAGGTGAGCTCTCCCACTCAGAGGGTGGCATATGCCCAAAGGAAATCTGGGATGCTGTCATCAGGAAAGGGGGAAATGGACATAGGCATCAACATCCCAGGCACACACTGCCATGTGCAGGAGCACGACAGCTGCCACCACTCACCCCTGCCCTCGGCGGGGCCCCTTTCTCCTAACAGTTTCTACTCCTCATGCTAATTTCCTCATTCTGTGTTTCACAGAATAACAAAAGGATAAATATAACAACAAAGGGCAGAAAAGGGGCCCTTTGTGTCCAGGGAGCTCTGATAGGAGCTGTCCTTGAAGTAACATGCTAGAGCTAGGAAGATGGTTGGATAGTTAGCATAAACAGAGCTGTGTAGACACTATGGGTGCCCGCCCCCCCACATCCCTTTTACCAGGCTACAGCACCCTTCACCAGCTGCCAGGGGGTGTTGCTGGCTACAGAAGCTGCCTTGTGCAGTCACCCTCCCTGTCCGTCAGCCAATCACTCATTGATGGGAACAAAAATCCAGCCCCCTTTCCTCAATCTGGGCCCAATCTGCGGTGCATTGGTCTCTGAGCCTCCTGTGCCCCAGAGCAAGTCTAGACATCACCTGACACTGCCTCCTTCCTTAACCCTTCCCCTTGATTCCCTCACTCCGAGGCAGGCAGCCCCTTCCTAAAGGGCACCCCCTCCCCATAGATAGTATCACCTGAATCTCCACCTCAGGCTCTGGTTCTAGAGAATCTGACTTACAACAGAGGCCAATTGGTGTCGAGAAGGAAACACCCAGACATGGAAGGGCATTCGGGAACCTTGGCTCAAGGTGGGTTTGATGAGCTAATGGTTTATGAGATTTGAAAGGTGCTTGAGTTAGTGAACTCTGTGATTTCTCAGTAACAGACACACCCTAAAGTGACAATACAAACGAGAGAGTGTGTTGCAAAGAATTCGGGTGCCACCGAGGGCAAGGGCTGCAGCAAGCCTCAGTGGATAACCCTGTTATCCTCCTCTCTCTCATCTCTGCACCTGCTTCTCTGCTTTCCTCTCCCTGCCCCAGGCCCAGAGGGGAAAACAGTCACCTCAAAGCTCTGAATGGTTCATTCTCTTCCACCCGGAGATTGGACGGAACTCCATTGTCTCAATGTTTGGTTCCAAGAGAAGGAATTTTGATTGGTTCACTTGTGTGAAGCCCTGGCCCAATCAACCTTACCCAGAGAGCCAATGTTTAGGGAGGGTGTGACATTGTACAAACACGTCCCAGAAGCCTGCCCTGTGGCCACATGGAAGAAGAGACGATACTCCAAGAAAGGCCATTATTAGATCACATTATAGGTGCTCACTAAACTAGTGAAAGTAACATGGCCCAGGGAGTGTCACTTCATAGATTCTACCACTTGAAGATGATTTATATCTCTGCCCTAGTCAAAACAGTCATTGATGATGAAGGCAGCATACTGATCAGATTCAGGGGACATTATAAGCTGGGAGGAATAGCTAATATGTTAGATGCCAGAACAGGGACACTAAAAGAGTTTGGTAGACTTAAATAACACTCAACACAGTAAGATTATATGTAGTGGGATAAATATTCTTTCATTATTTTAACAATTGATTTGGTAACAGTAGGATGGAAGAAGCCTGACTTGACAATGATTAGTTAAAAAAAAAAATCTAGGAATTTTAGTTGACCACGAGCTTGTTATAGCATGAGCTGGCTTCTAATAAAGGGTTTGGCATCTTAGCCTGCATTAACAAGTACAGCTTCCAGGTCAGAGTAGGGAGCAGGACGTGTGGAGAAGGCGGACCCTTCCGGGCTCTGCATTTGACAGATGAAAGGTGTGCTCAGTCTTGGGCTCCATATTTTAAAGGCCTTAGAAATTCGAACTCAGGAAGTAGAACAATGCATATTTATTTAACACCTACTAATGACTAGACACTACAGAGAGATTTTTAAAATATAATCCCCAGATTACATGGGTTATCTGGGAATATAATTTTATGAAAAATGGAACTGAGAATGTTTTGATGAGAGGAGAGGAGACCTCTAGAAGGAACAGGATAGCTGTGTTCAGATACTTGATACGTTGTCAGGTGGAAGAAGAAACAAGGCTGGTCTGTGCTATTCAGGAAGGTAAAAGCACACCAAGTGTCTAATAGACAGAGGGACTGAGGCAGGTTTGTGCTGAGTAAGAAAGATTTTGCTGGCAATTAGGGATGTTCCGTGTGATGAAATAGGCTTCTTCCCAAGTCATGAGCCTATACGATCTCTGGCAGTGTCCAAGAAGAGACAGAAGGTTAAACCCAAAATACCAGCCACCATTGATTGAATGCTCCCTACGTGCTGGCTTCTACGGTAAGTGCTTTATATGCACTACCTCAAACCCTCACAATATTCTTGCAGGGCAGAAAAGACTATTGTTCCTATTTGACCAATGAGGGACCTGAGGTCTAGAGGGGTTATGTGACTTACTTAAGATCTTGTTACTTGTAAGTGGCAGAGCCTGGATTCAAACCCACATCTGTCTAGTTCCAAAGCAGCGATGTAGCCAAGTGGATTCCTGCCTTAGAAGGAGGTTGGAGTAGACAACTATTATGAATGTGCATACTAATTTTACTCATTTACTGAGCCTCAGTTTGTGCCCATGATCCCTAAAGTGTTTGCCAAGTACAGCATACCATGGTTCTAAGTAGGACTTTTTTTGGAAAACAAACTGGATATTCTTCCTCTGTGAGATCAGAATAGAAGAAAACAGCTATCTCTGTAAGGATTGGCTAGGGTGGACTGCAGAAATGAACCATCCCAAAATCTCAGTGGCTTAACCAGATAACTCCAGCAGGGATGGGCAGGGGAGTCTTCCTATCACAGTCAGAGCGCTTAGGTGATGGATGGGTGATGGAGGCTTCGTCTTGCCCCACGCTTGCCTAAGGTAGCGGCAGGCAGAAGCATGGCAAACTTTGCACTGGCTCTTAAAACTTCTGTCTGGAAATGGTGCATATCCCTTCCGTTCACGTTTCTTTGGATAACAACCCATGGTCACACCTATGGTCAAAGAAGGTGAGGAAGTACAAGCATATCATGAGCGCAGAGGTGGAAAGCCATGCAGGCTTAGCATTACACTGAGGATTTCCATGAGAGGATTTCGAAAACAGTAAATATTCGGAGTTGATATTGAAGTTATGACTATGATAAATAAGAATTCCTGAAGGAAACTATAAAAAGATAGTGTGGAATTCATTCCCTGAAAAGTTGGGGGAAAATAAGTTAGATCTCAGAATGCCAGATTGCCAGAAGATGAACCAGGTTGGTGGTTTTCATTCTGTGCCATGGAGTGTCTCAGACACTTTCATAACACATAAGGGGTGGGTCTCTGGGCTTTCCTCTTTTTCTCTCCTTTTTCTCTTCTGTTTTCTCTCTCTCTCTCTCTCTCTCTGTGTGAGGGTGTGTGGGAGAGACAGAGAAAGAGATGGATTTTGGCTTCTCGCCACCCATTTCTCCTTTCTAACAGCACCCTAATTTCCATTTGAAGAATTATCTCCTCAATATTTTATGCAGCCTCGCGAGGTCCTGACCACCAGCCACAAGGGCTATGGGCTCCTCCCAGAAGCTCTCCCCATCCAGGTACAGCCGGGCATGCAACCCAAGCTTAATCAGAGTCTTTCTCCCTAGATTTTGACCCTTAGACCAGTGACAACAAGGGCAAATGATACTGTGAGAGTTCATACATTGCCACTTTGGTTCCTGCTTCCTATATATTCCAAGTCTCATGCTTCCATCCTCCTTTCAATCCTATTAAACAAAGTATTACTATCCTTCCAGTAAATTCCCTTATGCTTTGGTTAGCTCATTAGTTTTCTCTTGCCTACAACCAAATAACCCTGAGTGTATAAAGTTTCATTAAGATTTGGTTTGGTTTGCTTGTTTGCTTTTTTTTTTTTTTTTTTTACAAAGAGTTCTGCTAAAATATTAATGTTTGGACCAGATGATTTTAGATGTTCCTCCTAGTCCTATGCTTTTAAGCTTAAAAAACAAAAGAAGAACATGCTTTTTGCAGATCTGACAGCTGACTCAACGCAAATGTTACCACCAACAGCAACCACAGAGAAACCCAGGTCAGTAATAGGCTCCCGTAAAGGATGTCTCAATATCTTTCCCACCAATCTTCCTGCACTGGCCTGTGAAATTTAACTCTTTCTGAATCTCTTAACATTCAAAAGCTGCAGGCTTGCTGCATGATCTGGAACTGTGTGATACAGGTTGTACTTCTCTCGTGAGGAAGAGGAGGAACAGCGTCTCGCATACTTACTGAGTTTGAATAAAGATCTTTTTTTCAAAGGGTTTGTGCCCTTTCTATACAAGATGGTGATACCATTTTCTGTGAGCAATTTGTGACATCCTGGAACCACCTCCTCCATCTTCACGGGTGATATTTATGAGTTTAAATATGGCTAATGATATCACATTCCCACCAGATGGTCCATAGGAACTACCTGGATTCAGATATGTGAGCATCAGGCAAATGCTTGATTCCTTAGATCAGGACTCAAACATAAAGCCAGTTTTGGAAAATAACTTAATACTGCGGATTCACAAACATGAGAAGGACACAGGAGCGGCCGAAGCAGATAAATAAAACAAGACTGATCTGAGGATGAACCGTGCGTTCTCCTCCTTCGGGTGGGTAGTTGGTACCTCATTAGGGCTGGTTCGTGTCTCAGAGATCTACTTGTGTGTTTTGTTTGGTACTCCTGTTACCATGTGGGGTGCAGAGAGCTAACATGCATTTTCTCTATAATCTACACAATGTCTGCTTACTTTGTTTATAGGACCTTGCATATAAGACCTGCATCATAAATGTTTATAGCTTTTCTTAATTATTTTCATCACCTCCAAAGACTCGACTGCATTTCACCTCTTGCATACAATTCTTCTGTGGTAGTCTGAACCTCCTGTGTCTGGCACTGCCAGAGGAGTCTTCCTGGCACTTCTGCCTTCTGCTGCATGTCCCCTGCTTCAGTAGCTCTCTAGTTCTGCCCTCCCTGCCTCCCTTACTTGCTTGCTGATGTGCTTTCTTAAGCTGCCTCCACCGCCATTGAACAGTCCAGTTCTGCACTTGGTGAGTCGTTTCTCCCTCTTTGCAAAATGAGTGCTTCCTCCTACCTGGCTGAAACAACCTGGTTACTGCTAGAAGGACAGGCCTCTGCCCTCTGGCAGAGAGCTATTGGAAGAACCTCACCCAAGCACTCAAAATTGTGTGTGTGTGTGTGTGTGTGTGTGTGTGTGTGTGTGTGTAAATGTTTTGTTTGTCTGCTTTGTTTTGCAGCTTAAGAAACATCCCTTGGCCATGGCAAAGGCAGGCATGTCTCAAGCGCTGTCAGCAGGCGTAGAAGCACTACTTCTGTGCATGCTAAGCATGGATCACTCTCAGAATCAGGTAAGAGGGTTGAATAAACAATTTCTCTGAAGAAAAGATTTGTGGAGAAGAAGGAACAAAGTTCCAGTGGAAGAGGTTTGAGGAAAACAGAAAGTAACTAATTTTCTACATGAATTAAAGGGAAACCATATACAGCCTCTGGATGAATTCAAAGGCATTTAAAGGCTGGGCTTTTTCTCTTTAAAATATCATTTTCCTTTGCACAGATTTCCCGAGCAATCCACCTGGCTGACTTTACTCTTCTCTCATCCATATGGAGGTCTCTGGCAAAGTCCAAGGAACTATAAACAAAAAATATACAAATAAGAACTGTGTAAATAGAAAGTCAGGCTCCCAAGCTATGAACAGATCTGGTAAATTATGTGACAATATGGAAGTCATTGCAGTGCCCCTGACTCTGATCTTAACAGGTTCACTCATTTCTATACCTGTGCCTGTGTACACCAGCACCACAGCCACCTGCCTGTCCTCCCTCTTGTTCCTCCATCCCCTGGCCTCTCTGGAGATGTCATTGCCAGGCTTTGGGAATCACAGCATCGGTCTGTGCTCAGCGTGAACACATCTCTTATGCGTGGCTCACGCGCGTGGTTGTGCCCACGGCCAGTGTTCTTTATCTCCCCCGTCCTCCCTCCTCATCACCCACACATGGCCATTCCCCTCGCTGCCTGGAACCTGGGGCCAGCCCTGCCTCTCAGGGGACAGGCTGATTTGCTCTGCTCTTCACCCTGAACAAGGAGACCTTTCATTTAAAAAGGGGGAGATGCTTTATTTCCCTGTGAATTAGAATAATGAAATATTTCTTGTAAACTTGGGAATTAAAATGCAGACAATACGAGTCCTTCGGTTTCCTTTTTATTGGTCTTCAGAGGTGAACCTTGGAACAGTTGTAAATATGTATCAGGGCAGCTCCTGGTCTTCCGGCATTGAAACTCCACTCACAGCAGTGCCAAGTGTCGCCGTCTGATTTGTCTGCAAGAGCCTCCTCCCATTTCTCCCCACCCTGCACCTCACTTCCCTCTCCCTACCCCGGTTACAGTGACTTTGAAACTGGTAAGAAGCATTTTGAGGTGACACTCGAGTAGCTGTGTGGTCTGGAATGCATTATAATGTTATGTCTCAATTGCAATATTCTTTGGTTGATACAGAAGGCAGGCACAGCCAGGATCCAGCCTTAGGGCGCACTGCCACCTCCTGGAAAACCCTCTGTACACGGCGCCTGCTAGCATCTCTCCTCCAGTGCCACCGACCAGAAAACAAGGACTTGGTCACGGCCTTCTGTCTTTAGAACCAAAGATCTGGGCACACAAAGCCATCTTCCCCTTCCCCTGCAAATTGGACTGCACCAATTCCTGAAGGATACAGAAAGGTGTCGCATTATCATCTTAATTAAAAACGAGTAACTAGGTCAGGGAGGCCGCGGGTGCAGAGAGCTGTGCTCATTACTCCCGAGGCTGCGACAAACGCTGCTTACCGTAAATGAGAGCCTGGCACCGGTCGGATCCTGCCCTTGGGATCTCAGGAAGAAGCACCGAGCTTATTTACACCAGCAAGGACTGGACGGAGGACATGAAGCAGAAGTCACGTGCATGCACAAGGAGAGAGTTGGGAGGGAGACTGCCCCGAGTTCTTCAGCCCTTTTGCTCTGTGGCAACAGTTTACTGAGATTCCACCTTCCTGGCACGTTGGGATAACTAACAAGATATTTTCAGAAAATACCAAAGACACAGCAAAGCACCTGCGGGTTCATTTAAACTCACAGCATAGGAAGGCCAGCACACACACCTGTGTCTTTGAGGCACAACTTTACTGACCAGAGAAGTCAGATGTCAAGTTTTGGCCAGAAGAACAAAAAACTTTTGACAAGATATCAGGCTTGTTGTCATCATAAAAAAGAACAGGATAACAGATTTCTCTATTAACAGTTTTCCTTTAAAATAACAACAAAAAATGTTTATCTGCATAAACACTAATAAGAAAATATTCTCATTAACTGCATTAATTTATTTCAGCTAATTAATTGACTTGCTTAAATTCAACTAGTGTCTCTCTGAATTAGTAGTTCTTATCTTTGGGAAGATAGGGATTACAGACTCTGAAAAATATGAAAAATCCAAAAATATATGTATTCTTTCTCTAGAAAAATGTAAACACATTTTGCTTATTTTCTAATAAAGTCTGTGAAAACCAATCACCACAGCTGGCTGGCGGGGGGGGGGGGAGCTTGGGAATATTTGCAGATGAGCAACCCCTGGGTTTGGCATCTGCAGAGAATGCCAGGGTTCTTTCTACTTCTCTTCTGTTCCCCAGCCTCACATTGAACGTAGGTTTAAGTGTTCATGTTTAAAAATCCTGGACTTTCAGTGGCACACATATGAAATGCTCAGATGACACCTTGCTTTAGCCTGGCTCCAGGAAAACAAAGCTGATCAAGGTTCTGCCACGACACCTGTTTAGACACGTCCTTTGTCTTTACCCCTAGAGAGAAACTCTAATGACAGCGATCTGGAAACACAGCCTTCCTCGTGGCGGGAGGATCAGACACCAGCTTTTCTGACAATGTCATGGTGGTAACCCCACAGCCCTTCCAGTGGATTCTAGTTACATACAAAACATGCAAGACAGCACAAAGTATGAGATGAATTGCAAGATCTACATTAAAATAGTGGTAAAATACTGACATTCAGGATTTATTCCAGGGGTGGAGATCCTCTACCTTTGGATTCCGGTTTCTAACCAAAGCTGTTGCCTTTGGCTCCTTGTTTTCGTGTTTGTCATCAGCTCCTGGAAGAAAGCCTTTTGTCTTCCCTTCTTAATCTGTTGGCAGAGGTCGTGTGGCCACATAGGTATGTTCTGATTAGAGCTTCCAGAGAAGTGTCACCCTCCAGCTACTCGCTCACTTCTCTATTGAAAGTGATGGGAATGACAGTCTCATATTTCTATACTACTTTTCTTCTTATTTTTTTTCTGAAGTTTTACCTATTTAAACATCTTCTCTTTTCATTTAGCAGATGGGAAAACTGAAGCACACATAGATGAAGACAATGAACATAAACTCCTGGCACACAGTCATGGCAAGGACAGGTAAGTACTGATTGGTTCTTGTGTATCAGGCACTTTGCTTAGCGCTTCATATGCATTGTCTCATTTACCCCCAAAATCCCATTAACCACTTAAGTACGAGCATCGACTATAGTCGAAAGCCACAGATGAACGCGCACAGCGACTTTAGCCGACAGCCGTGATATGAAGGCGCACAGCCGAGCATCAACTTTAGCGTTAATAACAAAACTTGACTTTTCTAATTTTTTATTTATCAAAATAAATTTGTGAACATTTAAAAATAACATAATGAAAACATATATGTATATGTTAGCTATTCTGATTTACATTACAAGTAAAGCTGCCTGTAAAGTAAAACAAGCTTTCAGTGCTTTCAAGCTTTCCTCATCACACAAGCACAGAACGGATTCGTGGTCGATGCACAGCACGAACTATCCTGTGGACTATGGGTGCCGGCTGTGGGCAAGGTTTCACGGCTGGTGAGCGCTGTACCAAAGTGGTTTTAAAAAGGTATAATCATGACCCCTTTGTTTCATGTTAGGGAACTGAAAGAAGGTTCAGCTAGCTATTATTGCAATAATACTGTCTAGCAAATGACTATTAATACAAACTCTCAGTGGCACAAGATAGGAAGCACTTATTTATTTCGCACATCTGAGGGTCTACAGGAGGTTGGGCACACTATGCTGGACTCAGCTGATGTGGCTCCATTCCATGTGTCTTGCATCTTTTTTGGACCAGGAGGCTAACTGGGGCATGTTCTTCCCATAGTGGTGATGGAGACAAAGCAGCAAAGTGGAACACATGAGGCCAGGTAAGTCCTAGGCTCAGAGCTAGCACAGGGATATTAATACTTCTACCCAGGTAAAATTAGTCAAAGCAAGTCACATGGGTGAGCCCAAAGTTAAAAAATGGGAAGTACACTCTGCTTCAGATGAAACCATGTGGATGTAGAGAAGGATGAAGAACTAGAACCCAAACTAGCTAAGGGACAGGGCTGGAATTGAAACCAATGATGCCTGGCTTCAAAATCCAAATTCTTGACTATTATGCTATACCATGGGAACTTAACAAAGGGCTATGATTGTTATCTTAAAAACTCGGCTGGATTAAGGTAAACAAAAAAGAGTAGAAGAGGAAAGATATTAATAAGAAAGAATGATGGAAGAGTAAGAACTGGGATGTAAGAAGGAGGATATAACTATAGCATTAACTCACAATTGCCAGTGTTCATTATTTACATAATACTTGCTCATATTTTACTCCTCCACTGCAGAGAAGATGAATAGAATGCCCCACTTCATTTTCAGAGAGTCTATATTGGCATGTGTCAAATGTCTTGAGACTTAAAGTGTATTTTAAATAGTAACTGAGAGATGTGTCCCATTGTAATACTATGTCTAACTTTAGATAAATCAGGGACACTACTCTCTTGGAAGGGGTGCAGAGGCCTGAAACATCAGGATCTGACCTCAAGAGGAACAGCAAGAGCACAAAGCCAACCTTGACAAACCAGAGGAAAACACCTTGAAGGGGATAGGAACATAGCTGAAATGACCTTTGAGGATTCATGGGATTGGAATAAAATAATAAAGGCAATAAAGAGTGAATAACTGAACACAAGGAACCTTTGCCTACCAGGGGACAGGTAATCTACTTTCTGTAACTTTGGACCTTAACCAGAGTGAGATTGCTGGTGTCAGCCACAGGTAATCTCGTGGGATAGTGACCCTTGTCAAAACCAGGCATCCAAACACCACCCTCCAGCAAGAAGCCAGTGAAGACTTGGAGAACAGGTCACTGCAAAAGGAAGGTGACTGACTCCCCAGCCATGCAGCACCTTCCACCGGATTTATGACTTTCCCCCATTCTCCTCTGTTGGAGGTGATTTATTTGGATAATCTCACACAATAATCCTACTCTCCATCTACTTTTCCTTCTAACCTGAAATAATATTCAAGGAACTACTGACAACCTGCTCTTTGGTCCTCGTGGGACATGTGCGTGCCTTGTGGCTGTGATATAGAAACCTGTCTTCTGGGGGAAAAGGAAGAGCTCACAGAGGACCAGAAGTAACTGTGGAGACAGCCAAGGGGAAAGGCAATAATAGGGAGGGGGCAATGGAATGTTCTTACAGGATGAAGGAGACATGCCCTCTCTTCCTGGTGACATCAGTGACACTTGGGTCTAAGCGTAAGCACAGGGGCCCAGCAGGCAGCCAAGATGCAGGCGACCACCCAACACAATGTTTTGGAAAGAGGCTTCCAACTCTTTCACCCATGTGTGCCACTGTGAGACATCTGACTGTCCCCAGAACAACAAAAATAGGTGCTCATTGACAATCACATCAAACACACCGTAGGCAAGGCATGCCAGCTTGGGGAAGGATAGTGTGCAGCTCAGCATGCTCAAGAGCACTTTACTTTGCAGTTACTCTTTGGTGAGTGTTTCTTCCCTGTGTTTGAGAATTGTCTGTTGAGAGCTGGTACTAACAATAACATTTCTTGCAGCTAGGGTAGGTGGTCTAGGGTGGACAAGTGACTCTGTCCTGGAAAATTAACATCATTCAAAGCACTCCACAAACATTAACTTCTTTAATCTCCCCAACAACTGTGTAAGGTAGCTCCTCTTATTATTCCTATTTTATCAATAAGGCAGGTGAGACACAAACAGGTTTGGTGACTTGCCCCAGGAACACAGCCAGGAAGTGATTGGGTGGAGCTTTGAACCGGGGCAACACAGCTTCAGAAATTTTGTTGTTAACACTTCCCCACAGTGTGTCTCACGTACATGAAACCTGGGAATGGCCCATGAAAATAGATGGCTGAAGAATTTGTGTAAGGGCACAGAGACGTGGTTGCTACAATTTAGTAGACACTGTGAGTGGACCGGATTTGGGCTTTGTTCTGGGGGGACCCTCAACCTAATTTCGGACGTATGCCCAGCACACGGTTGAGAGATAAATTGCTTTACTTTCTTTTTGAGAATATGACTCTCTGAATCTGCTAGGGTGAATTCTGAGACTTAGGGGAAGGCCTGCACTTCTTCTGGAAGAGTGGGAAGCTGCTGCTTGCTTGGCTGACCATATCTACTCACACTTCTTCCAGTATAAGCCGCCTGATTTTCTTTCCTGTCTCAAGCTATGTGACTGGGGAGCTGATCTATGAGGTGACCTGGGGCTGGACAACTGCATATTCCTACTTCTTGACTCAAGGGGAGTCACTGAGTCCCTCTTTGGGAATTTTATTGGAACTATTGGAAAAGAGGAACACTTTTTCTCCAGGGTTGCAGAAAGGGTAGGATCGAGGCCCAGAGTGCAGGGCCTTGAGGGGAGTTGCTTTTTCCCCATGTGTGAAGGGCCTGCTTCCATAAAACCAACGGAGAAAAAGCTGATGCAAAACTAAAACTAAAATATGTCAACTCATTAAACCTTGATAACATCTTTGGAATCCCTAGATGCTTCTGTTCCTGAGCTCCCTCTAGACCTCTGAGTTGGATGAACCAATAAATTCCCTTTTTGTTTTTGTTTAAGCCAGATTGTTTGGGGTTCCAGTCCTTGTATCCAAAAAAGAAAAAAAAAATCTGCCTAACACACCTCTGGATCCTTGGAAAAGGTGCATCCCTTAGTTCTAGGGCTTAAGAACTCTACTCGTTCGACAGCAGGGTCCTGGGGGTTTCCTCCATTAGCTTTCCTCTGGGTCAGCAGCTGACATCGGCCACTTGACGTTCTGAGCAGTGAGGAGCCAGAGATAACCGAGTATTCCTTGACTGAGATTTAATTCCAGCCTCTTTTCCCCACTCTGAGGGAGGGTTTGTTCCTGCCTCTCCCTCCTCCATTGCTCCCTCTGCAAGCCCCACCCACCCCACCCCATTCTGCCTCATGCAAGACCCTGAGGTTATTTTTTATTTTTTTATTTTTATTATTTTTTTTTGAGACAGAGTCTCGCTTTTGTTGTCCAGGCTAGAGTGAGTGCCATGGCGTCAGCCTAGCTCACAGTAACCTCAAACTCCTGGCTCAAGCAATCCTCCTGCCTCAGCCTCCCAAGTAGCTGGGACTACAGGCATGAGCCACCATGCCCGGCTAATTTTTTGTATATATATTAGTTGGCCAATTAATTTCTTTCTATTTATAGTAGAGACGGGGTCTCGCTCTTGCTCAGGCTGGTTTCGAACTCCTGACCTCAAGCAATCTGCCCGCCTCGGCCTCCCAGAGAGCTAGGATTACAGGCGTGAGCCACCGCGCCCGGCCTGAGGTTATTTTTTATTACAAAAGCATAATTGACTGGAATATCCATGGTTATTATCAGGATCTCAAATTTGAAAATGTATCTTGGATGGACCAGAGATGATTTAAGCAATCAGGCCATTTCCAAGTTCTGCTCAAGTTTTAAAACAACTAGTGAGCCCCTCCCTAGACCTTCCCAGGCCCACCCCACAGAAGCCAAATTAACAGCTCTTCTTAGTTCCTTGCACACGGTCTCCATTTTAGTACTTGTTATTTTGTGAAGTGTTTGTTTATTTTTCTGTATTTTGAATTAGACTCCAAGATCCTTGAGGGCAGAGACTTTTGTCTTTTTGCATTTTACCCCTTTTTACTCAAAAAAAAAAAAAAATAAACCAAATTTCCTCTGTTTACCTAGCAGCAGCTTTATACTAATTACGAGCCAGGTGCTCTTATACATATTTCCCAAAGTGTGTTCCCTGGAGAAACAGCATCAACATCACCTGGGAACTTTTTAGATACACAAATTCTTAGGTACCACCTGCCGAACCAGAAACTCTGAGATGGGCCCCAGCAGTCCATGTTTCAACAAACCTTCCAGATGATTCTAACGCCTGCTGATGTTGGAGAATCACTGCTCCAGCTTCTTGCCGCTCAATGTGTGGTAGTCTTAGGACCAACAATACCAGCATCACCTGGGAGCTTGTTAAACATGCAGAATCTCACGCCCCACCACTAATCTATAGAAGTGGTCAAGAATCTGTGTTTTAACAAGCTTTCCAGGTGATGTATGTACTCTAAAGCAGTGCTACCTAAGTTTTCGAGAGCATCAAATTATCTGGGGATTTTGTTAAATGCAAGCTCTGATGTCCGAGAATTCAAATTTCTAACAAGCTCCCAGCTAAGACTGATGTTATTGGCCCCTGGACCATAGTTTAAGTAGCAAGTGCTGGGGGACTGCGGGGAAATTGAGGGTGGGGGAGTATCTCAGTACTCAGTTCTGTTTCTATCTGATTTATATATCATGCTTCAAGGTAAATTTTTATTTGAAATAAGAATTCTGCTGCAAAACAAATCTTTGAAGCAACAGCCTTAGAGAAAATAGTCAACCTTTAAAGTGATAGACTTGCAAACCTAATTATAAAGCAAATGTCATAGGGTAAATTAGCGTATGTGCCACAGGAAACTGGTGGAGATTACAGTTTTTAACTTTTTAAAAGCTTTTTATCAAGTTTCCATATTAAATGAAATTTGAAAAGTGAGATTGAAATGAAGGCTGCTCGTGACTCACCACCTGATTTAAAGATGGAAAACTAATCCTAATTTCAACTGACACGTCAGCGTGACAATTCCGTATCTCCCACTTCCTACCTGACACTAAATAGCTCCTTGTTTTTCTATTCTGCTTCCCTTCTGGCTTCCATAGACCTATAAGTCCATTTTCAGCCTTATCACACCTTATTTTACCTTCCCAGGGAGGGATGAAACGAGGATGACTGAAGGCAAGTTCTCATGATCCTATAATACCACCATTTTTCCAATCAGTCACTTTCAATAATTTCAACCCTCTTTTTCTCACATCTCCGTATTCAAATAGATCCCACACTGAATCTTTCTAAACAAGCTCTTTGATTTCTGGCCCTTTGTTTCCATTTCCATGGCCACCAACTCATCTTAGGTCTTCTTCAGTTCACATGTGCACAGTATGGTATTTTCTCAACGTTTTGCCTGACCTCTCCCCTCCAATGATCTCACTCTAGCTCATCCTCTCAGAGTAATCTTTACACAGCACATGCCTACTTATACTCCCTGTACAAAACACTGGGACTCCCCACATGCTATAGAGACAATGTCTAGACTCCCGTCTGGCATTCAGGGCCTTAAATGACCTGGTCTCAACCTCACTTTGCACTTCAACTTCTCAGGATCCTCCACCTAGTCAACTGGGTTTCATGGGTTCAAACCCATAACACATTAGTCTGCTTGTCACACCATCTATGTAAAGAGAAAGGACCCTGCTCATTTTTGATTTCAAACATCACTTTGGAACTGACTTTCACAAATGTGTTTTTTAAAAAGAAAAAATTCACAGAAAAAAACTAATTAGAGCTGCATGGGAGAGGAACATGCCAGCAGGCTAGGGGTTAATACATCCACCATATTTATTGTTTTAAATGAATAAATCCTCAGAAAGAAATAAAATTCCTTTTTCAGAGTAGCTAAGAAAAGACTATGCAGTCTTGATTACAGTAGAGTGGAAAACTGTAATAAATGGCTATTATTTTCTCATAAAGTCTTACCGTAACACCCAATACTTCAAAATTTACAAGTCCATAAAGTCTAATCTTTTTTCACTGTGCCTTCAGTAAAAGGTTCAGCTGGAAATGCATGTTTTCCCAAAGTAAAATCTTATCTGGAATAAGATTCCTCATCGTGTTCTAGAATGAAAACATCTTCAAAACAGAAATATTTCTGTCTATACAACGCTTGTAATCCCCAGGCATGTTCTGAATATTGAATAATAGTAATACTTGTATTAAAGATCATTTTAGGAAATTAAAAATGTATGATGCTTTGGTAATAATTCCAAAGGGAGTTATCTTACATTGGGTTCCCTGGAGGCAAGTCCAGATGTGAGGATTCTTGTTCAAGTGATATATTAAGGAGGTGCTCCCGGGAGAAACTGGTAAGGGAGTTGGGGTGGGGGGGCAGGACAAAGGAAGGAAGGAGGCTGAGCAAGGCTGCCACCTCCAGGAAAGTTCTCTGGAGGGTGACTTCAGCCTTGTTCCACAGTATCTCTGGAACAGAGGTGACAGTTTCCACTGCCAGGGAACTGGGCATTCATACTCCTGCACCCAGAAGCTATCATCCCGGCAGGGGCTGGGGGTTTCTGGTGGTGGGTGTAACTCCCACACGCTTCTAGCCATCTGTGGCTGTGGGCAGAGTTCATGCCGTGGCCCAAGGGCAGTCACCGGGAAAAGTCCACACAGGTGTAAGCTGTTGGTGGCAAAAACCACATCAAAGCTAGAGAAGGATTCAGGAGAAGGGGCCTGAAGGGGGTTTGGCCAAGCACTGACAGGGTTCACTAGAGAGTACTTCTGACATCCTAGAACCCCAAAATTCCTAGCCCAATAAATTATCTAATTAATCAACAATTCTTAAGAATAGTGTGACCATGGGCATGGTTCTTTTCTTTTTTTTAAATTAATTAATTTTTTTTCTTTTTTTTCAATTTCAGAATATTATGGGGGTACAAACATTTTGGTTACATATATTTCCTTTGCATCACCCAAGCCTGAGCTACAAGCATGCCCACACCCCCCAGACAGAGCGTTCTGCACTTATTAGTTATGAATTTACCCAAGGGCATGTTTTGTGAACTCCCTTTGTCTCAGCATCTTCATCAAATAAATAAAAGTACTTAGCTCAGGATTCTTATGAGTATCACACAAAGTGATATGCAGAAAGTATTTTAATCACTGCTCGTCATAACAAAAATTAATAATTATTAATTGTAGTTGTTTTAACCTCCTTGATATTTAGTATTGCAATTTTATATACTTGGGCAGTGGGCTTCTCTTAGTGCCATAATAAATTTATGCCAGATTCAACTTATCTACATAAGATAAGAATAATACTGAAGTGATAATGAAGAATGTATTTTTAGTAACATAGGAGATTGGTAAACTGCATAAGAAAAGGAAGGGATATAGGAGCTTGGTCATACATAATGGAAACAAAAGTATAACTCATTTTTTGACACTGATGTAAAAAAAAATTAAAGCTAGAGGCTTGGATACCATCTGAATTTATAATTTTGCATCATTTTAAGCTCTAAATTTACCTAACAGTCAAGAGGATCTAGATATTTTATAGGAATAGTTATGAAGAAAAGCACTGACAGAGTTTGGTGGAAGGAAAGAAACGGTAACAGAAAAGGCAGTCTAGTCAAACTTCCTAAAAATAAAAGAGACGGCATTATGGAAATACTTTCATTAGCACTGAGATAAGTTTAAATTGAACCATATAAAACCACCAAGATTTGTACTTTTTTGATCTATGAAAATAGCAGTTTCATAGGATTCAATCTGATCCATCGAGCCCGTTGGGAGACAGCCCTTTATGGTCCTCTCTCTTCTGCTACATATCTTGCTGGCTGTAGCAGGAAGGCAAGGCTCTGCTCACTCTTTGCCTGGGCCATTTCTCAGAGTTTTGTTTGCAGCAAGCAACGTTGAGTCAGGCTTGCTTACTGCTTGCTATAGAAGCAGCGGGTTCTCAAGCTCCGAGTTTCTCCCGTGTGACACAACTACCTGCATGTGCGTGTGGCATCTGTGCTCTTTGCATCCTGCTCTTGGAACTTGGGACCCGGAGAACTGATGTAAACATGCTGGTGCACATTCTGCTTAGTGTGCCTTGAGAGATAATGTCCTTTGACTTCAGGAGTTTCATGCCTCCTACTAATATTCATGGAACAGTAAGAAGCTAACTTCTTAGCTTTAAAATAGGGTAAAATCAAATCCCAGGTCCAATGACACCACAATACAGAATACTCTCAAGATTGTATTAGTTGTATCAGTTGGGAAGTTTTCCCAAATGGTTACCATTTTAGACAGGAAGTAGAAAACATCCTTAAAAAAGATCAAGTGGCCATGCATCTTCTTTCTATCTTTGTTCTTAGAATCCTTTCACAAGAAATAAAAACCTTTCAGAAGAAGTAAAAAATATGTCATGCCCTCAGTACCCCATACCCTCAGAATCACGTGAAGCTCCTTAAGGAAGCTATGACTGTGTCCTGGAGTCTGGAAAACTCCACGTGGCAGGTTTCAGGCAAGCTGATTGAGTTTCGATCTGTTCTCTTCCAAATTTATTTGTCCATGGGCTCTTTGGACATGAATTAAACTTTGCAGATCAGAGCTTTGTTAGTACTCAGAGGTCCAAATTATTGAAAAAATAGCCTTGGAAACTCAAACACAGGCTAGATTAAAACTGATAACCTAAACACAGCTTCCCTGCTTTCTTCTTGAATATGGCATTGGGTGGTCACTAGTTTTCTTCCCTTCCAGGCTGACCGTTGTTGATGAAACCAAGCCATTTTCTCCTGACAATGCCACAATTGTGGAGTTGGCATTTTTATGTAAATCGCTGTTCTCTGATTCATTAAACCCTATTGCCCTCGACATTTTCCTTTCTGACCCTTATCAGCCACACGCTAGCAAAACATGAAGGAATAAAGAGGACAAAGAGAGGCAATAAAAGGGTTACAACCAAGAAGTGTATTGTGACTGTGACCAACAAGGGAATTTGGAAATGGGTGACTGAACACCCAAGGATGCCCTGTCAGCTGGTCACAGCTGCATTTGTTCGAAGCCTGACAAATGCTTAGCACCATTTCAAGGTGTCACATAGAGATACCTAGGAAATGACAGTCATGGATGCTACTTTAAGAGCACTTAAAATTTAATAGATGAGATAGCACAATTAAATGTGTATATATCCGTAAACATGCAATCTGGCCCTTGCTTACCTCTCTATTTACTTTCTATTTCTCCCATAGTATGTGTCATAAGCTGCAATGTTTTGTTTATTTATTTGTATTCTTGCTTAATTTGGTTTCCCCAGAGCTGGGACTGCCTGGTACAATGTGTCCATTCCAATTATCCTTCTGTTACTCGGGATTTCATCCACCTGAATACAAATTCCAAATAGACAGGGGCTGTGTCTCTCTGATTCACTGTTGTAACCCCAGAGCCTAGCAAAATGTGCCCAGTAGATTCTCGAAAAATCTCTTGGAATATATAATTAATAAAACCAGCAACAGCTAGAGAAACTGTTTCTAGAGAAACTGTACAAACTTAATCTTCTGAGTATGCTGCTACTAACTCATTAACACAAAATTAAGCAAGAATTTGGTTCCATGGCATAAGCAACATTTTCAAAGATGAGAAAAAAAAATCCCTGGACCCCAGGGCAGAAAACTTGTTCCTACATCATTTTCCTTAGTGGATATTAAGATCATAAATCACACACACAAAAAAAATTAGTAGAAAAACCTTATCGGAATCTCATCATGTGACTTTTAATTAGATTTCAAGAGCAGTGAGGTTTCACTGGTACACACAGAGTTCTCAAGGTTTAAAACTAGATAAAATAATAGGGAAACTAGTTGAATTGCCTCATTTAGCTGAGCTATCTTGCCTATGAAACTAAACCTGTGACTCAAGAGCATGGCATTAAACACCAGGGACAGTCATTTCAATGATGTCCCAGTTCTTCATTCTTCACTCACCTTTGCTCTGCCCCACCCCTTGACACTGAGCTCAGCCATGTGACTTCCTTTGGCCAATGAGATGTTTGCTAAATGTGATGCAAGCAAAGGTTTGAAAAGTGCCCACACATTGAGACTTGCTCTTCTGTTGCTTTCTCTTCCACCATACCCGTGAGTGCGTGCCTGTCCTAATATGCTGCAGGAGAAGATGCATGGAGCACAGCCGCAGTTCCTCATCCTAGCCAAGGCTATTCTAACTAGCTGACAGCCAGCCAGCCCTCAGAGTGAGTTCAGCCAGGATCAACCAGCTGTCCTGAAACTGACTACAGATGCAGAAGCGAGCACAGCCAAGATCAGCAGAACTTCCTCCCTGGCCTATACATTGGCACCACTGTGTTTTAGAGGGTTTGGTTTGTAGCATTATTGTAGCAATAATTAACTAATATTGTACTCTTATAAAGTAATAAAAACTAATTACCAGTGAAACAAATTTTGAATTGCAAATGCAATTCTTCTTTATTGAAATAGAAAGTATTTTTATTAAATTATTTGGTTTCTCTACAACCACAGCACGCCTTGCCTCCAACCACATCCATGTCGCTGGGTTGAGTGGACTGGGTAGATGCACTCAGAGAAGACATGTGAAGGGCAATAGCAGGCTTAGCACCAAAGCGACAGATGACACCTTCCTGGTACTGCTCGAGGGCCAGTACTTTGCATGCACATCATCCAGGATCGAGAGCACGGCCTCCATGGTCTCCTCACAGGTGGGCTGCACCTGAGTTTCTGGCAGAATAAACCCAAATGTACCATTGTCCCTCAGCTCAAACGTGAATGAGAAGGGGATCCCAATGTCTCGCGCCCAGTCTCTTGAAGACCCTGATGTGGAATCTACAAGTGAAACATAAAGGCAGAGGTAGAAATCGTACTTTAAAAGGACAGATCCCTATAGCCATTTCAGGGAATAAAGATTCAATCAGTAAAATAAAGAAACTCTTTCAGACGATGGTCTCACGGATGGCTGTCTTTTCCCTGTCCTTGACAGGGAGTAAACCCCCTGCGGGCAGAGAGCACGTCTTATGCAGCCTCCCTGCCCCCCCCTCCCCAGCACTGTGTCTGGCACATAGAGAGGTTTGGTTCAAGTTTCTCAGCTGAATCAAAGACTATGGAAGATAATAATGCAAAGCAAGAGTGAACTGACTCATAAAAAGGAACAAAACCAAAATGACCCACAGGGAAAATATCACCTAGGTGGGCCCATGGAGGGTGGAGGAGGTAGAGGTTGGGGCTGGGGAAAGCAGTGCATTTTCCTTTCAACTAAATTCTTTCCTTTTAGATCCTTTCTCCAGGCCCCACCCTGCTCTGCTTTCTTAGCCTGATGGGTCCTGTAGGAACTGAATCAACTGACCAAGGGTCAGTGGACAGTGTCCTTCCTGTTAACTCCTGTGCCTTCCAACTTGCCAGCTCTTTTTAACTGAAGCCAGGGGAAGTTCTGGTCTGAGCCAGTGCATTAATTTTTTTTATTTTAGCTCATACTTTATCCCTAGAGAGTATAATTCTGGATTTGTACAGACTGCCTTTTATCCTTGGTCATTTTGATTTGTACAACTCCCTGTTGATCCCAGAAACTCTTCTGTTCCTCTCCTGCCCACCTCACCACCAAAGTCCACTGACTTCTTTTGTGCCTTAGATACTATTGAAGAGGAAAAAAAAGATACTTACATAAAATATCTGCACTTGATCCAACTCTATAATTGGTTCCATACTTTGCTTTCAATGCATTTGCTGCCTTCTGTCCAACTTGAATCTGTAGGTGGGAAATGTAGAGACAGATATCTGGTGTTAAAAATAAATTCAACAATCCAAGGTTTGATATTTCGTCCCAATCCATCTCCAGAGTTTTAGAGCATCTTTCCAACTTCCCATTGGACATCTACATCCAGATAGCCTGCTGGTACCTCAGCTTCAACACACTCAAATCCAATTTCATCATCTCTCCCACTTATCTCCCACTAATAAGGCTGTTCTAACTTTCATATTATTTCTGGCCTTGCATGCTCTCCCAAATGTGCTTGTACAATTCTGCAGGTGTCCTTGATATTCCCTCTCTCAAACAGTGACCAAGTTGCATTTCCAGGGGCATCACCCTGTTTCGGACTCATTACCTCCGAATCAGTCTGTTGCATCTTCTAATGAGTTTCCCTTCCTCTCACCAATCCTTGTTCCATTAATCCCACCTGGCCTCCAGATGCAGTTTTGTAGCACGGAGCCATGATCACAGTCCTGCAGAAAAGCCTTCAGTGACTCCTGATTGCTCAGTGAATTACAAGTACAAGCTTCTCTCCCCTTATTTTTTGAGATCCTCTACATACACTCTGACCCCAACCCACCTTTCCAACACCATCTTCTATACATCCACCCTATTTTATAGCCAAACTCAAGTTTTCCTACTATTCCTCAGACATGCCCCACATTCCTCAGCCTCTCTACTTTTCCTCAGGGTGTTTTCTCTACCCAGAATCCCTACCTCTTATCTCTCTACCTGTTGAAATTCTACCCAACCTCAAAGGGCTTTCTCAAATGCCAACTTCTCCATCAGGCCCCGCCTGACCACCCCAGTTGGATTCTCTCTCTCCCCACTTGAGTCTCCCATAGACCTTCCTTCATACCTGTCTAGGGCTCCCTTATCTTTCCTTATAGGTGCTTGATACTTAACCTCTCATGGACTCACAGAATCTCAGAGCTAGAAGTCACACCTGTCCTCACATCCCCCACCACATCACCTTGCTACATGGAAAATCCCTCAGAACTAGATCATTGCTAATGTCTCTGGCTCGCTCTCAGCAGACCCCATCCTGAAATCAGGGTCACCGCTTGACACCCAAGTCTGTTGACTGTGCTCATTGATCTAATATACATCTTGCATAGGACTGTTGACAGACCCTCTAAGTATTGGCCACCCTAGACTCTGCAGTTCTGTATCCCACCCCCTAGATGGTATGTCCCACTCCAACACCACCAACCCCCTTGCCACTCCCTCCTGGGCTGTGAGCCTCACTGCTCTACCCCTGAGGGCAGCCCGGCTGCACTTGCAGCTGCACCAACTCCCCTGACCCCTGACTTGTGGCGGGCCTAGTTTCAGATCCTTTCTCCCCCTTCCTGGCTCTGCACTGTCCAGCTGAATCCTCAGATGTCACAGGCTAGTGCTTGAGTAGGGTGGGGACAGGCCTTGTGAAATTCAAAAGAAACAACAGAGAAGGCAAGAGTGTAGGGTGTGTGAGCATAGGGATCATACATGGCAGTTGTGCGCAGCCTTCTTAAGGCACTTGGGACTTCCTGTGTGTGGCTAAGACAAAGGAAAAAACATTCAGTTGAACATATTTGCAAGCTTTTTGCCTTCTTTCCACACACTACTGGTAATTCTATCTTTGGCCATTCACCTTTTCTCTGTCTTCCTGAAAAGAGATTGAGTCCTCAGTTCATGGGTTTGTGTTGTCCAGAATTCAGACAGTGGACAGGAAAGGCCCAAGAAGCACAAGGCATAAAGCTTGTCTAATCGTTTGCAGGGGGAAGAGGCACAAAGCTGTTTGTAGAAAGAAAAGGAAGTTACGAGAGAGGTGAGAATCAGAAAGGAGATTTCTTTTCTGCAGAAAGAAATTCTGGTAAGGAAATGGGAGTGAGGGGAACAAGATTGCAGGGTAGCTGCTATGTGTGATGAGAGGTAGAGATGAGGCCTGGGGAAAGCTTTGCTGATATTCACCAACTGCACTCCCTTTCGAAGTTCTTTGAGAGTCTCTAGTAGAGATACAAATTGCTTTTAATTGTTTTTAATTCCTATGTGTTTCTTTGAATGAAACTCCATGCTAACTGGGCCACTGGCGCCTTAACGTTTATTTGGGATATGTGGATCACCCCAGGCTACACCTGCCATCCACACAGCTCCTTGCTTTTTTTCTTTTCTTTCCTGCAACTCTTTCCTCTTCCCATAGCCAGCTTTTACTTACTTCATTTTCTATAGTTCCCTTCTCTCAACTTCTATATGTGGGGTGGGAAACAGTCTTCCCAGTTTCCCCTTCTTTGTTGACAAAAGGACTTTTGCATTTTATTTTTTTAGCAATGATTATGGGGAAGTAGACAGGAGTGAGAAATATACACAAGAAGTGTGCAGTTGTAATCTGTAGCTTAGAGATCTGGTCCTGTCTGAGAAGACGAAATGCAAATCCCCGAGACTGCTGACTCCATTTCCACATCTGGGGGTGGAACTCCCAACCGCTCTTTTCTCTCCTTCTGGCACTATATTGCAAGGCCACGTAGAGCCAATTTCTCTGCAGCCCTTTGTCTCAGCTTAGAGGTACTTCCTAGTAAAAGTAATAAAAGCTCCTCTGCCAGTCGTACATAACATACATTGCTTAAAACCTCTAGCCCACTTAGCAACTCCTTCCCTGCGCCCAGAGAATTTCCTACGGGCATGTATTCACAGGTAGGCACACGACAACGTTGGTTAAGGCCTTGGCATGTTGGGGGCAAGGGAGGGGGAGGGACAGCTTGAGATGGAGCACAGAGGATGACATGGAAAGAGTTCAAATGGAAAAAAAATGTAAGCATGTAAGACATTAGAATTCTTATAGCTATACTAATTTCCAGAGCAGTTTAGAGAGGGGCTATATATAGTCATGTTTCTCCTGCACACTGATTGCCAAGTTGTCTATCATGCCGTATAATATTTACCATGATTTCTATAAATTTTTGGTTTTGTAAATATAGAGAGATTAATTACTAGTCTCTGCTGGTTGTAAATAGTACTAGAAATGGAAATTTCCTTGGAGCAGTTGGCTTCATTCTATATTTTTGTGCACTCTATCAAAGCTTATCCCCCAAGAACCTAAAAACACTGCTAAGTAGCTTCGATAAGGCAGATGCGCATGTTAGAAAAATTTCCATGCTTTTTATTGAAAAGGCTTGGAGATGACTATTTATGAGAACTCTTCAGCACCTGGGACTGTAAGAGACACTGAATTGAAGGCATCATTCTCAATTTGATTTACCAATTTCTGCATATAGTACTGAGGAGTCGCCAGGAATCTCCTTCTTAGAGTCACCATCCAGTAGTGGCCATGTCATTGCCCCAGGTCCCTCCTGACTTCTAGTTCTCCCTAGCCTGGGGCTACAGGGCTCTAACCAGACAGCCTATCAACAGCATAAGACACTCTAACTTTTGAATACAAACTTTGCAAAATGGTCATGTATTATCTGTTTTCCTGAAGCAATAAGAGAATGAAGTACCAAGACAAATACTGGCATATACTAGCCTCTTTTTTTCTACTAGTGGGAAACCCCTTTCCATCAAATATCTACAATGGCCTGTCTTTGGAAATTCATTTGTGTTTGTCACAGATTCCTTTAAGCAGAAAGTAGAAATCTACAACAAATATCACAGAAACTGGGGATATTCTGGGCTTCCTGACCGAAATCTCTATTTCTATAGATTTCTTTATTTTAGAAATAGAACTTCCAAGGCTCACAAAGCAGGAAGAAATAGCATGTAGCTGACTGGGAATCTAAATTGATAATGGCTCTAGAGGTTGCTAACCCTTTCTGAGCAGACAGAGACAGTGTGAGGTAGTAGGATCATGAGTGTGGCCTCTGGAGTTCAAAGACATAAGTTACAGCCTGGACTCCACCACTTCCTGTTTAGAGGGTTCTGGAAATAAAGTTAACTCAAGGTTGCAGTTTCCACATCTCCAAAGTGAGCTTCATATATTGCCATGGGGGTCAAATGAGATAATGGCTGTAAAATCCCTTTGTAAATTGTAAAGATTCAGGCGAATGTTAGTTATTTTCATATTATGCAAAATGATCATTTAGTACAAGTATTCCTGGACCAAGAGAGGAAAAAATAATTGCAAGAAAGGTATTTGCGTGGTGTCAGGTGTTTTTGACTAGTGGGTGAAGGGCTCCCTCCAGCAAAGATCTATGGTGACTTTTCTTTTAGCATCCAAACTTTGTGTTTTGTGGGTCATGTTCCAGTGGGAGAGGGATGGGTGGTGCAACCTAACCACAGGGTCACCAGGCCTCTGTAGGTATTAAGAGCAGAGCGAGCTTAGCCCCAATTCATCCCAGAATTTGCTATAATGAGGAGTGTGTTTAAAAAAATAAACAGAAAATAATAAGTTTTGGCCAGAATGCAGAAAAATTGAAACCCTTGCTCACAGTTGGTGGAAATATAAAATGGTGCAGCCTCTATGGAAAACAGTATGGTGTTTCCTCAAAAATTAAAAATAGAATAGAATTGCCATATGAGTCAGCAATTATACTTTGAGTATGTATCCCAAAGAATTGAAAGCAAAGTCTAAAGAGATCTCTGTATACTCATATTCATAGCAGTATTATTAACAATAGCCAAAAGATGGAAGCAACCAAGTGTGCACTGATGGATGGATAAGATAAACAAAATGTGATATATACATACAACGAAATATTATTCGATCTTAAAAAAGGAAGGAAATTCTGACATACCCTACAACATGGATGAACCTTAAGGACATTATGTTAAATGAAATAAGCCAGTCATAAAAAGATAAATATTGTATAATTCCTCTTTAGGTATCTAGAGTAGTCAAACTCATTGAAATAGGAAGGAGAAGTGTGGTTGCCAGGAACTGGCACAGGGGAAAATGGGAAGTTGTTGTTTAATGGGTATAGTTTCAATTATGCAAGATGTAAAAGTTCCGGCAATTGCTTGCACAATAATGTGAATATAGTTAACACTACAGAACTTGTATACTTAAAATGGTTAAGATGGCAAATTTTATGTTACGTTCATTTTACTACAATTAAAAGTTGAAATAAAAGAAAAAGAAAACAGATATTACAATTTGCAATTCTAAATTTACCCTCCCTTTGACTTGTATCTGCTGTCCTTTGGCTCACATAAGGGCAAAGAGCCCAGGCCTTTTCAGCAATTCTGCCCACCGGTGCTTGGGTAAACACAGCTTCACAGAAGGACCCAGATAAGACAAAACACAGTTTCCCTGCCACGGCTTGCATTTCACTAGCACTTCCCCTTACAAATAATCCTAGGCAAATACTGGAAGAAGAGTTTAGAAGAAAATAGAGCATTGTGTTTAGCAGAGAAGAGAGCAGATATTATTTAGCCATGTTATTTTAGATATGCCATATTCCACTAACAGCTGGCAAGTTCTTTAAAGCACGGTTCAAAGCTGTAATTGCTGAACGGAGCTGCAAGAGAATTTACAGAAATGAAAGCACATTCCTGCAGATTATTAACATAATCATCTCATTTATATTATAGATGAATACCTAAGATGTCTCCCAACTTGACACTTTATGAAACAGGTAGTTAATTAATGTAGGTAAAGCAGCGTTTAACCTGAAGCCTTCCCAGCAGGCGTCTGGCAAGGTGCAAAAGCAGGAAAAAGAAAGTAAGGATGGGCAGAGAGAACAAAAAGGGGGCTGGAGCCCAAATCTTGGAAATGGAAATCAGAAAAAGGAAGGCAGAGGTCCCACTATGCCCTATTATAAGGCATTGTGGACTTACCAGTTCTTCGTGGTTACTTGATTTATTTTGGGTGTAGCCATAAGGTGTGAGAATTAATTGCCCATAAGAGTGCATGGTCAGGAAGCACAAAATGTTGTCCTTCTTGCTCTCTACAAAACTGGAGACAGCTTTAGTCTCTGGTTCGGACACTGGTCCTGTCCCACAGAATGTTAAATCTTGGCAGTTTCTAGATGCACCAATACCTGGAACATATAGGCAATCACAAAGATGGTTTCATGATTCTCAGCTTGGAAATGACGGAGGGCAAAAAGTCATCCTTACTCAGGGCATCTGTGGGGGAAATCAGGGCTTACCCTTGGTTGTCTAAGTGCTGGCTAAATTAATCACTGATAGGATAGTCATTCTAGAAGGAACTCAGAAAGGCAAGAGGGCTGATGTTAAGATTTAGAAGCAAATTCCATACTTGCATGGCCCAGTATAGAAGATGCAAAATGAAATAACATTTCAACAATCTTTTACTTAAACCTATGGTGGGCCCTGAAACAAATAGCTGGGAGCCAGTTCTTGGGGTCCTCTGCTTGAATCTCATTAGAGCTACTTGGCAAGGACATAAGTAGCCTGCCTTCCTCATTAATAATAATAATGATTAACACCTCAATAATAATTAACAGGTGCTCAATAATAATGACTAAGCACCTCTTATATGCTAGGTACTGTGCCCAGCCCCTCCTGCTGGCGTCACATTTAACCACAATAGCCTACTGATAAGGAGGGATTATTGTGACTCACATTTTACATAAGAGAAAACTAAAGCAGAGAGATGAAGCAGTTTTTTCCAAGACCACACAGCTGCCAAGTCTCAACGTTAACCCCTGCCGTCTGGTTAATGGCAATGCTCTTAACCATTCCTGCCTCTTTATTTGCTTCCGATCCATTGGGCATTTTGAGATTCAGAAACATGAAAATGGCATAAATAGAAGAAAATGTTTGCTTTGTTTACTGCCTACCCCCTGGTGTAAAATAATACGCAAGGATAATTTTCTGATTTTTGTTTCCTTTATGATAATACATATATTTAAAAACAAAGGAATGGACTGGGAATATAGTCACACTGGTCAAGGTCTACTCTGTCTTTGTATAGCCAACCTCATTTGAAGAGAGTCCTGCACGCAAGTGTTGATGTCTCTCACCATCTAGATAATATCATCCCTTTGAAGGGAATAAAACTGCTCAGGAAGCCTGGAAAGCTGTATAAAATTAGATGTTTATTTTCCAAAATTATATCTTTAGTAATGTGCCTGTTTTGTCGCTTCTCAGCTCTATTTATTTGTTCATCAATTCAGCTACTAAAAATGTACTTACTACACCAAGATACATTGAAATTTCGATTGAGATCCGACCCAAAACATGTGCCATTATTATGGGATGAGCGGGATTTCCTCCAAAGACGATCCTGAAACAGAGGAGCAGAGGGCTGTTGCCATGATAAGGGTTCATAAATCACAGCGCTAGTGATGAGAGGGGGTCCTTGAACATGAGCAATGCTTCCTAGGATTATCTGGGAAAATGTGCCTTTAACATTCTGAATGTTAAGTCATCATTTGTGTGTGTAATGTTTAGCCCCGCAGATGGGCTAGCAAATCCCAATAACAGGAACATCTGTACAACCCACAGTGCACATACGTGTACACGGTCCACTTGGAGGAGGTGGCGTGGCCTTTTCCTCGCCGGCAGACTCACAGTGTCTGTGGATGTGATCTGCTTACTCAGGGAACACTCCAGAGGCATTTTTTAACGTCCAAGTGATACAGGATGAAAGGGAAATAGCTTGACAGATGGAAAAGGCCATTCCAGGTGTATCAGATAAGGGCTCTGCACATTTCTGGATGCCAGAGACTGATGAGTGGAGATGGGGACAATGACAAGTGTCACTAGACAAGCTCAGAGGGAGACTTGATTCATTCACCAGGCCAGAAAGGCTGTTCCAGAGAAAAGGGGCCCCTGCCAGGCCTTTGGGGGAGTGAAGGGAGAAGGCGAGCAAGGAAAGCTCTCTAGGAACACGGGCTCTTATTTGTGGAGTGATATGCTTAGGAACACTTTACAGAGAAAAGTTCCCTACTACATAAAAAGCCTTTATGAAATATTTGCCCATGTGTGGATGATCACACTGAAAAAATGTAGGCTAGTGTCTCCAATAAATTCTGTGGGGAACAAAAGAAAAATGTAGGCGGGTTTTGTATTTATACACGATTCATTCCCCTCCTGCTTCTAGAACTGATTTGAATTATCCACTTCAGGTTGGTGAATGAATTTTTTTTTAAATCAATACAATCTTAATTGGGTGGCAGGAAATCCACACACGTTAAGAAGATAGAGGAAGAGAAAAGTTTAGTCAGACTAGAAAACTGGGAATATGTCAAAACCAAACAAGGAAAAAAAACCTGTGCTGGACTTCAGCTCTAAAAAGGCATTAGGCTTCCTCAGTCCTAGACTTGACTTAGATTGTTTGCTTAAAAAACATTAAGCATACTATTACGCCAAATGGGGTTTCCTTCTTTACATAGGTACAAAATATTTTTATAGCTGGAATGGCTGAGGTTGAAGAATGAGTTGAGCTTTAGTTCAGGAATACACCCCAAGACCAAACTCAGTGTACTTACAGTCGTCCACGTGTAGATATAACCGTCTATGTTAAGAACGGGAAGCACATAGAAGTCCAGGTTCCTAAGGAACCCGCTTATCCTTGAGTTGTCTTTATAGTTTTGTAGAATCTGAGAATTAAAGAAACATTCAAAATGATTCTGGGTAGGAGTCTTTTGTCGCTTAATTTTCTACCAATTTTAACTTAATTCTAAGAGGTGACTGCACATGACACCTCCACCCTCAGCCCCCAGCCCTTCCTCAGTTGTCTTATCCCATAGGTAGTGTAGTGGTTCTCACACCTTCTCATGTGTCACAATCACCTAGAGAACTTGATAAAACACAGATTGCTCCACTCTGCTCTCCCTTACCCCTGCCTAACTTCTCACCCCACCCCCCAACCTCTGGGCATTTCTAATTCACCAGGTTTGAGATGGAGCCCAAGAATTTGTATTTCTAGCAAGTTCCCAGTTGATATTGATGCTGTTGGTCTGGGGAACTACTCTCTGTGAGTTTTGTGTGTTTGTGTTTCTAAAAAGACTGACCCAAAAGGTATCCTGTATTACTTTTAAAGGCTTCTTATTCCCTCAAGGGAGGGGAATAGGTAATACACACACATTCCCTATGTTAGGTATTTTTCATATGCCAAATCTTTTAATCCACACAGCACAGCCACCAAGTAATCACTTCATATTCCTTTTACAGATGAAAAACTAGGGGTCCTAGTGTTAGAAAATTTCCCCAATACTAGGTAGAGCTAGGATTCAAACTCATCTCTGACTCCCAGAGTCTATCTTCCTCTGTCAATACATTTAGGTATATTTACCCTCCAATAAAAATGATTTTGCATACACTAGAAAGATATCAGAATATTAACTCAGTTATCAGTGAAGCTACTGATAATCCCATTTGACTTGAGGTGAAAGTTTAGCACAGTAAAGGGTGCATTGCTAACATGTGAAAGACGCATGTTTTCTAAGTGACAGGTATTTTATGGGGGTGGTTTACCATGATGAGGAAGCTAAAGACACTTACTTCTTTCACAAACCATTGGCAAAAAGCCGGGGCAATCCATTCCCTGGCGTGAATTCCACAGTCCATCCAAATGATCTTCTTGGGGTTGTTGGATGGTTGGCTGATCTGGAGGAGACATCCGTGCTCTATTACCAAACAATCGCTTATTATTGTAAGCCACTGAGCAAAGTTATCAGATTTTTTTTTATTCCCCTAGAAGTCCCTTTCTCATTCTGCTCTGTGGTTTCAGGAAGGAGGCAAGGATGCTGATGGAGACACTCTCCGGTACCACGCTCGCCTCTGCTACCGCTGCTCTCCTGCCGGTTTCCTTGGTGGTGGTCCTCAGGACCATGCACTGACTCCCAATGGCACCTGCCCCCAAAATGGTCTTCCCTATACTCTAAGTCATTCCCTGACTATAAATAAAGGCATTAAACCCTGCAAGCCAAGAGGCTAAATCTGTACAAACCTTAGAAAACCTTTGCACATAAAGTTCACGCAGAGTGATAAAGTGCACAGGAGGTAATGTTCGAGAATCTAAAGTATTTAAAAATGAATCCTAATCTGTGCTTAAAGTTCTTGCAACTTCAGACGGATCCAAATACGCAATCTCCTGCAACACTTACTAAATCCCCCCATTCCCCTCAGAGACTGCCCCACTCCCGGCCAGCCCGGTCTTCTTTCCTCTCTCCCACTTGTTATTTTTGTACATTGGCGCAGCTGCACTCCAGCAAGAAAGATCCCTCCTCTTTCGGAGAACTGGGGAGGTGGGAATTCATCCAGCAACTGTGGGATCTCTTTGGTGTAGAAGACACTGTGAATACGCCCATGTTTGTAACAGCCACATCTGTTTTGAATTTGTAAATGGCCTAAACCAGTGCTATTTGTTGAAAGCCACTGGGAGCTGGGCTGATGAAGGCTCTCTTCCTCTTTATGGAAAACTTACAAATTGAGATAAATACATGGCTGGAACTATCATCTTTAAGCAATTTTCTCCTTTAGCCTCACCTATTTTTCAAAGCTGCCAGGACAATTCCTAATCCACCTCTTACCTTAATTTTCTCTTATAATTACCCCTTTTATGAGTACATGTATGTTAATTGCATGTTTATCTTTATTGCCTCTTTATTATGTCCTCATTCTATTCTTTATAATATGCTCTGGGCAGAGAATGTTTAGTTTTCTTTTTGGCTGCTCTAGCTCAGAGGTTGGGGGCCTACAGAAAATTAGATAGGCAATTGCCCCGTGCTTAATATATCGGACCAATCTCCCACAAGATCCCTGAGTAAATTCTATTTCAGAGGCAATATATATATATATATATATTTTTTGTAGCTGTAGATAGCTCTCAAAGTTGGGCCTGTGCTTTGTAAATTAACACATCTGCACTAAGTAGTAAGAGGGCAGTGAACTGAGTAAGCAATGCTAGTTCTTAATGCCAGGCTACTTTGGCAGTGGCTCTTGAAGAGTGGTCCCAGACCAGCAGTGGCAACGTCACCTGGGAACTTGTGGTTCTAGAACTTGAGTGCGTGTCAGAATCACTCGAAAGAGAGCTCAATAAAACAGATTGCTGGGCTTCCCCTCCACCCCCACTCCCACCCAGAGTTTCTGATTCTGTGGACCCCATGGGGCCTAAGAATGTGCATGTCCAGTAAGACCCCAGGTGATGTACATGCTTTTGATCCAAGGACCTCCCTCCGAGAACCACTGGTTGGTATGTAGGTTGTGAACACTGGTTACATGTTAGGATTACCTGGGAAGCATTCAAAGCATTCCTGGGCCCATCCTGGAACTATTAGTTCAAGTCTAACCTAATTATGTGGGGCCCAAGCATCAGGATGACTCGGTGGGTCCCTGGGTGATTTGAATATGCAGCCAGGATGGAACACCACGGGTCCAGAACTGGGAGCCCAGAGGTCCTGGCCCTGGGCAAATTATGGCCATTTGGTCCCAGATGTTTTTTGTCATGTCCCATGCAAAAAGGGGTAGGTGACCCTGGAGACCTGGTTATCTCCTGGCTATGCTGCTATTTGGCCTGTGACCTTTCACAAGTCCCCTAACTCCTCTGGGTCTTCGTTCCCTTAAGCATGAAAAGAAGGAAGAAAAAAATGAAGGTTTTCTATGGTTCTCAAACATTTTTATGGAAAAAAATTGTGTTTTTTTAAAAAGAACATTTTACAAAAAAAGAAATAAAACAACAACTCAAAATACAGATTAAAAGTGAGCCGTCTCTGGTAGGAGCACAAGTGGGCATTGTCCACATCCGGGCTATGCTGTTTTTCAGTTCTGTCCCTGTGGTCCCACCAAGCTGTCCCAGTTCTCTTTACCCCTGAATGTGATTCCACCCAGATGATTAAGCCATAAGCATCTAGAAGTTTTGAATTGTAAAAGCCCAGTTTGGGACGGAAAAGGCAAAGTCTCTGTGTATTGCTTCTTTTAACCTTTTCCACGTTTATGGCTAGAGCCATTGAGTAGTAATAAACACATATCCTCAGGTTGGGTAATTCTCTCTGCAAGGTAATTCTTGGCCTTCTTACTCACCTTCAGATAATACATAGACCGGGCCTCATAGGTCATTCCTAGGAAATGCTGTGTCACCACTTCCGGGTATGCCTCACTGATCTGGCTCATCCACCAGTAGATCTGAAACAGCCAGGGAAGACTGTGGCTATCAATAGGAACATCGTATGCCTGCCTCTGATTAAGATGAATGTTTCTTTCACTGAGACATTGAACTCTGCACTCTTTGCTCTAGATTGCAACAGCTGTGTGACAAACAAAACAGAAAACTGAACCAATGAATTTATTACATCCTGCCTTTCCTTTTCTTTAAAGATCTACTCTCCCACTAAGTCTTTAGGACACCTTGTTGAACTTCACAAATAAGTTGCTAAGAATTAACAATTTCAGTAATCTGCCAGTAACACTTCTGAAATACTGTAGAACAACAAATCCTTCAAATCACCACCAGACTTGGCTTTCATGTGGCACACAACCATGCTAGAAATTCTAGGTTAGGCTTTTTTTGTAGGAACTTCTTCTGTCTTTATGGATCCCAACAATATCCTTTGCTAATGCCTGTGGTTCCAAGATTAGGGAAGACCTGGGTATGCCTTTCCCAGAACATGCCAACAGAAGTTTCTAAATCAAGCCCCAGTTAATCATTTTGATTCAACAGAGTAGACCTGAATATGTGCTGATTTAATTATAAGTCTTACACCATGCTTAGAAAGTCTTATACCTTGTCCTGGAAGTCCATAACTTGGGGGTTCCATAAGGGTGAATGTAATCAGAAAATTCACAAACATAAGACATATTCAGATAGTCATCAGCATCTCATGGGATACCTATCACCTTCAATTTCTGTATTTCTCAGAATTGACATCTCTGAGTAACAACAACCATGAGTTATGGCCAATAATAGTTAATTGGTGATAACAAATATCCTACTGGAAAATTTTTGTTTCTCAATTGACATTCATCTTAGCATAGAATATCTGTAGATAAAATGCATTATTAAAACAGTAATAATACTTAGGTGGGAATATTTTCAATTTAGTCTATTAACTGAAAGATTGTCACATGGGTATCTGTGTGCATCTGTGACTAGGTTAGATACAGATGCCTTAAGTCTGAGGAGAGCTACAAATAGCAGCCAGTAGCAGCAGCAGCTGTTATTAGGTCATTAAATATGAAATGCCTGATTTTGGATCAAAAGTTTCATTTATTATATCTTAAACAAGAAGCAGTACCATTAATCAAAGTATATGCCTAAACTATGGACACAGTTTTGTCATCTTAATGGTAGCTTGTTTATGTCAACAGTGAAGAAGTCTGGAGAGTGAATGGGGATGAAATCACAAAAGGCATTATGTACAGTTTGTTGAGAATTGAATATTTTTCCTTGCAAGAAGTGGTCCTAAGTATGGAAAAAGTGGTAGTCAGTTGGTGCAAGTTCTGGTGAATATGGTGGATGATAGAGAATGTCCAAGTCCAGCCTCTGTAGTTGAAGCAGTGTTGTTTGTGCGACATGTGGTCAAGTGTTGCCTTGCAAGAGGATTGGTCCATCTCTATTGACCAATCTCACCTGTTTAATTGCAAGCATCCTTGTCATTTCATCCAATTGGTGGCAGTAGCCATCTGCTGTAATCTACTGACCAGATTTCATGAAGCTGTATTAGATAATACCAGTGCTGGATCACTAAACAGACATCATTAGCTTTTTTTGATGAATATTTGGTTTTGGACTGTGTTTTGGTACTTTATCTTTATCCAACCATTGTTTCAAATGCTTGCAATTGTCAAAAAGAATCTATCTTCTATTACACATAACAATAGGTGTAGAAATAGTTTATCTTTATGTCGTGACAGCAAAGAAAGGCAAGTTTCAAGACGATTTTTTTTGATGCTCATTTAATTTATGTGATATCCATCTATCCAGCTTTTTTTTACCTTGTCGATTTGTTTTAAATGGTCTAATATTGTTGGAAGAGTAACATCAAACCTTGTTAATTTACATAGGTTGAGATGGATTTGCTTCTGCTATACATTTTAGCTCTTTATTATTCACCCTGGACTCAGGTCATCCATGTGGTTCTTTTTAAGATTAAAATCACCAGAATAGAACTTTTCAAACCATCAACATACTTTGTGTTCATTAGTCACATCTTTTTCAAACATTTTGTTGATATTTTGAGCTGTCTGCACCGCATTTGTTCTATAACAGAACTCATACTTGAAAATAACACAACTTTTTGACTTATCTATGTTGTTACAAAAATTGTTTTCAAAACAACTTGGAAAGATAATCACAAATCAAACTATGTGTTTGAAAGAATGAGATGTACCTTCACAATAAAAATAAAAAAAGAAGTGTCAAGTCAGAGAAATCAACTGTTAAACTCAGTACTTAAGGAAATCGGACATTTCATACTTAATGACCTAATAGTTGTTGCTCAATCAGTATTGTAGTGGTATAGTTTATTTCACTTATTCTCACAACAATGCTGCAAAATAGATACTACTATTCCTGTTTCACAGATGATGAAACTGAAGATATAAGAGATTAAATGTCTTGGTCAAGGTCACAAGTGGCAAGCCAGGTGTGAGCCCATCTCTGATACAAGAGCATAAGGTTTCCATGGGCCAGACTGGACCTTGTTCAAAATCATAGAACCTTCAGTACTTTGGGTGATTGTTACAAAAGAAAATATAAATTCTTTCTTGCACTCTTTGAAAAAATTCTGGAAAATATCAGTATATTCCCAAATGTTGAGAGAATAAATTGGTAAAGCTTTTTTGAAGGACGACTTGCGTGTTTATACCAAATATTTATATATGCATATACTTTGGCCCAACAATTCCATTTTTAGAAATTTACATCTCAAAAAATGCATAATGTCACACACACACACACACACACACACACATACACGTAGCTAATTTTTCACTGTATCTAGTTTTGGAAACCACCAAACTTATCTTAGTAGCTGCACAGATACATGTCTTTGATAAAACAGTTTTCTCTTAGTAACAACTGCTGCCCATGCCCCTTGCATCCTACAAGAAATACTATGTTTCCAGCTAAATCTGATTCAATCAGAAGGCTTCTCCACCTCACATCTCACACCCATATAAACACCAACCCTGCCCCGCTTAAACCTGCAAACAAAAACAAAGGTTAATTATTTCTGGTTCATATTCACACTAACAAAACTTACTCATTGGGATGTTCTTGTCCTCCTTTTCCTTATTGTTATTAATTTGCTTTATTTTATTTTTTTCGAGACTGGGTTTTGCTTAGTCACCTAGGCTAGAATGCAGTTGTGTCATCATAGCTCACTGCAACCTCGAATTCCTGGACTCAAGCAATCCTCCTACCTCGGCCTCCCAAAGTGCTAGGATTATAGGCATGAGCTACCATGCCTGGCAATTTTCCTTTTTATTTCATCTCACCAGATTTTGCAGCTTCAGTGGTGGTGGCCATGATGTTTGGGAATCCCTTGAATTCAGGCCACAGGCACATCCTAACACCCACATTTTGAACCTCTCTAATCCATGGATACTAACAGTGAACCATCCGCTGCCCATCCTTAAGTAGGCTGTGATACCAAGACCTGCCCCAATGAGTCCTTGCTCACCTCCTCCATGGTGTGGTATTTGTTATAGGAATAGGTCTCCAGGCTCCTCCGGGCACTCACTGTCTTGTCTACAACCTCTTGTCTGTGTTGTGCTAAGGATCTACAAAGGAAAGAAAGACAAAAGGCAGTGATGAAACTGGGATATCCTCAGGGCTAGAAGGTTGATGGAAAAGGCTGTAGAAATCAGCATGCACAGGACTTGAAGGACAAAAGCCAGTGTTGGAGTGTTGGCCCTGTAACTTATGGATTGTGAGACCCTGGGCAGCTTTAGAGCCACTCTGAGTGGCAGTTACGTCTGTAGAGTGAGGGGAAGCATTCCAACCTTACAACCTTAAAAGGAGGCTAGGATAATTTCCTAAGATGTTGAAGATAAAAATACTTTTAAATTGGTAAAAAAAATAATAACTAAAATTTGTTGAACCAAAACTTATTATGAGAAAATGCACTGTTCTAAGCAATTTAAATTTCAGTGACTTTTCTCTAAAACTCTGAGATAAATTGCCCTTACTATCTCCATTTCAGAGATGAAGAAACTGAATCCCAGGGAAAGTGTTATTGGGATTTAAATTCTAACAGTCTGCAATATTAACCACTGTACTGCATATAATGGTGAGAACTCATCTTTATGCAATGGTTTATCTTCTTTAAAAAATAAAATTTATTTTTTAGAATACTTTTAGGTTCACAGAAAAATTAAGTGGAAAGTACATACTGTTCCCATAAACCCCCTATTTTCACACACACAACCTCCCCCACTATAGACATCCCACACCACAGCGGTACATTTGTTGCAAGCAGTGAACATACACTAACACATCATTATCTTTTCCAAAGTCTATAGTTTACATTAGGGTTCACTCTTTGTATGTTCCAAGGGTTCTGACAATTGTTTAATGACACATATCCACCTTTATAGTATAATTCAGAATAGTTTTAATGCCCTAAAAGTCCTCTGTGCTCTGCAAATACTGGTCTTTTACTGTTTCCATAGTTTTGCCTTTTTCAGAATATAATATAGTTGGAATCATACAGTGTGTAGCATTTTCAGATTGGCTTCTTCTACATAATAATATGCATTTACATTTCTTTCCTATCTTTCCAGGGCTTAATAAGCTCATCTATTTATTGGTGCTGTATAATATTCCATTGTCTGGATATACCACAGTTTATCCACTCATCTACTGAAGGACATCTTGGTTGCTTCCAAGTTATGGCAATTATGAATAAAGCTTCTATAAACATCCCTCTACAGGGTTTTGTGTGGATATATTTTCAATTCATTTGGGTAAATACTAAGGAGCACAATGGCTGGATCATATGGTAAGAGTATGCTTAGTTTTGTAAGAAGCTGTCAAAGTATCTTCCAAAGTGGCTGTACCATTTTGCACTTCACCAGCAATAAACGAGAGTTTCTGTAGCTCCATATCCTTGTAAGCATTTGGTGTTAGTGTTTTGAATTTTGGTCATTTTAATAGGCATGTAGTAGTATTTCATTGTTGTTTTAATTTGCAATTCCCTAATGACATATGAGGTAGAATATCTTCCCATATGCTTATTTTGCCATCTCTATATCTCCTTTGGTGAGGTGTCTGTTCAGGCATTTTGTCCTTTTTTTCCCCCAACAAGGTAGCCTTTTTTTTGGTATTATTTCAGAATTATTAATTCTGAAATATTTCAGAAATATTTCTGAAAATAATATTTTGGAGTTATTATGGGGGTACAAATGTTTAGGTTACATATACTGCCTTTGCCCCATGTGAGTCAGAGCCCCAAGCATGACCTTCTTCCAGATGGATCGCACCACACCCATTAGGTGTGAATATACCAATCCCCACCTCCCCCATCCCATCTGCCCAACACCCGATGAATCAAGTTTTTCTTTTTCTTCTTGATGAGTTTTAAGAGTTCTTTATATATTTTAGATAACAGTCCTTTATCAGATGTGTGTTTTGCAAATATTTTCTGTTTGTGGCTTGTCTTCTCATCCTCTCGATGTTGTCTTTTGCAGGGTAGAAGTTTTTAATTTTGATAAAGTCCAGCTTATCAACTATTTCTTTCATAGCTTGTACCTGTTGTGTGGTATCTAAAAAGTCATAGCCATACCCAAAGTCATCTATGTTTTCTCCAATGCCATCTTCTCCACTGCCATCTCGGTTTCATAGTTTCTCATTTTACATATAGGTCTACGATACATTTTGAGGTAATGTTTGTAAATGGTGCAAGGTCTGTGTCTAAATTAACCTTTTTTTTTGCATGTGGATGTCCCTTGTTCCACAATTACTGTTGAATGAACTGTCTTTGCTTTTTTGTCAAACATCAGTTTACTATATTTATGTGGATCTATTTGTAGGCTCCCTGGCTCCCTATTTTCTCCTTTTGATCTATTTGTCTTTTTTTTCCCAATATCATATTATCTTGATTATAGTAGCTTTGTATTAATTCTTGAAGTTGAATAGTGTCAGTCCTTTAACTCCATTCTTCTCTTTCAATGTTGTGTTGAGTATTTTGGGTCTTTTATTCTCCTTATAAACTTTAGAATCAGTTTGTCAATAACTATAAAATGACATGCCGAGATTTTGATTGAGATTGCATCAAATCTATAGATAAAGCTGGGAAGAACTGACATCTTGACAATATTGAATCTTCCTATACATGGACATGGAATACACCTCAATTTATTTAGATCTTCTGGGATATCTTTCACTAGAGTTTTGTAGTTTTCCCCTATATAGATCTGATATAAATTTTGTTAGATTTATACCCAAGTATTTCATTTTGGAGGGTACTGATACAAATGGTAGTAGGTTTTTAATTTCAATTTTTACTTGTTAATTGCTGTTATATAGGAAAGCAATTGACTTTCATATGTTAACTTTGTATCCTGCCACTTTGCTATTATATAATTGCTTAGAAGTGTTTATATTGTTGATTCTTTCTGATTTTCTACATAGATGATCATGTTATCTGTGAAAAAAGACAATTCTATTTCTTCCTTCCCAATCTGTATACCTTTTATTTTATTTTCTTGTCTTATTGCATTAGCTGATACTTCCAGTACAATGTTGAAAAAGAGTAGTGAGAGGTGACATTCTTGCCTTGACTGATCTTAGTGGGAGAGCTTCATGTTTCTCATCATTATGATGTTAGCCGTAGGAGATGTTTTTTTATCAATTGTAGAAGTTACCCCCTTTTTAAAATCATGAATGAGTGTTGGATTTCCTTAAATGCATTTTTTATGTCTATTGATATGACCATGTAGTTTTTCTTCTTTATCCTGTGGATGGGTTGGATAACATTAATTAATTTTTCAATGTTGAACCAGTCTTGCATATCTGGGATAAATCCTGGTGGTGTATAATTCTTTTTATACATTGCTAATGTATTTGATTTGATTTGATTTGCTAATATTTTGTTGAGAATTTTTATATCCATGTTCACAAGAAATATTGATCTATAATTTTCTTTTCTTGCAATGACTTTGTCTGATTTTGGTTTTAAGATAGTGCTGGTCTCATAGAATGAATTAGAATATATTCTCTCAGCTTCTATAATATTTCTAGAAGATATTGTAAAGAATTGGTATAATTTCTTCTTTAAATGTTTGCAGAATTCACCAATGAACCTATCTGGGCTTGGTGCTTTCTGTTGTAGAAGGTTATTAATTATTTCTTCAATTTCTTTAATAGACATAGGTTTATTCCAATTGTCTATTCATGGTTTATCTTTTAACAGTTTAATAAAACTATTCAGGGCCTTCTCTGTACCAGATACTGTGCCAATATCTAAGAAAAGACATTTATACACAGTATATAATTTTATTCTCACTACAACCCTGTGAAGTATTATTATCCATGTTTTACAAATGAGGAAACTGAGACCAGGAGAAATTAAGTAACTTGCAAAGAGTCACAGAGCTAGTAAGTCATATAGCTAGCATTCTATAACTAAGTTACAAAAACATTTGATGAATGTCTTAGTTTCTTAGCTGAAAGGCCTTATTTAAGCAGCAAATGGGATTATAGTTTTATTGTAAGCCCATAATAATTCATTCACCCAGCAAATACTTATAGAGTGATTACTATGTTAATGGCATTGAGGTATGTGCTTTTGGAGATGCCAGGTTGCAAACTTTTGTATAGTGATCCTGAATTGCAAGGAAATGTGTTAGAGAGCTAACAATGTGTTAGAGAGCTAACACATAGCTGATGTTTCAATGACTTTTATCTATCTTCTTACATTTTTTGACCATTCACAGTATTGTATCTTCTTCTTTAAGCATTCATTTCTTTATTTGTAAAATGGGAGGGATAACTATATCTTCCCAAAGGAGTCTTCTGAGGATTAAATAAGCTAATCCATTTTAAACAATGAATGCAATTTCTGACACCTAGTCAATTCCTAATAAATGTTAAAACACAGTAGTTCAAAGTAAATGCCCTATTTAGCTGCAATGATATTAAAAATAAAAATTGTACAGAGAATAATTTAGCCATCTGACTGGTATTGCCCTCAAATAACACCAAACTATAAAATGTTTTGATAGAATTAATTAAAACTCAAGTTCCATTCATATCTACATAACCCCAATAATCAGATTGACTAAATTTTAATTTTTTTACCTGATTCATTTAGCAGAATGTACCATAATAAACTACTATAATGAAATTCAATTTCACCACATAATTTCACTATTTTAAAATTAGTGTTACATTTATTATTGTCAAATGTTAGTAATATTAATAATAATTTGGATTCAACAGAAGCTGTTTGTCCTTAAAACTCTAAATGCTTCATTACATTATTGGATGAAGTTTGGCCTATTTAGCCTGTCCAAATGAAAATCTCATGAGATAGGATTATCTAAATGATTAGTTAAAACAATGAAAATGAATTTTAGAAGGAGATTAAAAGAAACAAATGTTATTTAAAGTATAACAGTATGTTTCTTTATGTTATTCAGGGATTCATTTCTAATACCACTGGTTGGATTTTTTTTCAATAAGCAAGAGTGCTTCAGAGTGAGCAATTTTAATATAAAAATATATACTGGTGTGAGTAATATATTGAGGTTGATAGCTTTACAAAAGACTATTA